CTTTCCCTAAAATTATTGTAGCATTAGGAGAGATTATATTAAAAATATGAACATGAGAGACTTCCTTCCTGCACCATTGTGATTAAGGAACCCATAGATGTTCTCTTCTGAATTTACCCAAGTAAGTTTCATCAAAAGCAAAACCAAATGCACATACTAAGAGACTACAAATGCGTTGATATTAACAGCTTGCAGCTGAACTGCAGTAATACATGCCTAAGTAGTTCATCTTCAAGTGACACAAAAATAAAAAATTACATAAACTGAGATTCTGAGAATCCAAGACATGCCCCCCCAAACATACACGTCTGTTAAATACAGTATTTCTGTTCAGAGTGTGTTGATATACACTCTGCACTTTCAAAAACAAGAGAAGTGGGTCACTAACATAAATAGAGGTTAAAAGGTTTCTACAAATATGTCTCAATAAGTAGGTACCAAGGTGATTTTATTGCACTATGCATGAAAAAGTAGGAAGAATAATACACAAATACAGCAAACACATCACTAGGCAAGCAGATTTGCCACCGGTTATCTGATTTCAAGGTCAGAGTACAAAGATGCTTCATGCAAGAAGATTTTGCACTTTACTGTGGACCTAATTTCATCTCATGCTTTCATTTTTCCAAAGTCATCAGCAAATTGTTAGCATATCTGCTAATAACAAGTGACCTGTTTAATCTCAGTGCCATCAATAACTATAAATATAGCAAAGAAAACCTGTAAGATATCAAATGCTACTAAATTTGAATATCATTAGGTAAGAGGGGGATGAATTTAGATGCTGAGAAATACACTGATTTTTTTTTCAGGGGAATCTTGTTTTGGAAAAATCACTTTGAGGAACCAAAGAAAACAAAAACACAAGGATGTCATTTGGACATACGTGTCATCTTCATCAGATCTAGGCTCAAGTCTCTCAGAATCTATGACAACAGCTTCATGTTCACCATCTACTTCATCAGATGCTTCAGTTTGATCGGAAAGTGGGCCTTTAAATATATTTTCAGAAGCTTTGAGAGGAAAAAAATGAAAATGTCACCAAAATCCTTTATTTTTAAAAATAAAATTATTAAGAATATAAATACAATATAGTCCCTCTAATTTGTGCCCAGTTCTTAGCAGAACCCAGTACAAGCTGTAACCTATTTTAAGTGAGGAGATAAACTAACAATGCAACTGAAGTGCAGAACAAGTAGTTAGGACTGCAGCTGTGCCCATCTATAGACTACGGTTATCTATTGACATGCCATCTTACTATCCTGTCTTCAAAATACTGATTTAGTGAAGGTGGATTTACCTGATGGGGCTACAGCCTATTTATTGCACCTGCCTAACGCATACACCACACCACTTAGCGGGCTGGAAACCGTATGGCTCTGCCATCACTGCGTTCATGTCACAATCTCATTCAGCTATTGAGCTGCAAGTGAAAGTTCTTCATAAAGAGATGTAGTGGAGATGTACAGTCACTTATGAATTCTCAGCTTGGATTTTTCTAAGTCCACATTTCATTTGGTAAACTTAAAAAAAACAAAACAAAACAGCCTGTTGTGACGTGAACTCAAGTGCACAATCTCTAGACATAGGGGCTAAGTATGTAAAAAAAAGAAAGTCTTTATTAATAAACCTGTTTGCAAAAATGTTTGCCCACAAACTGAGGATTTACCTGGTTTATAAATTGTGTATGTTTTAAATGCTAAGCTGACATCTGCGTTACTGAGAATATTCATCAGGGTCTGAGGAGTTTCCTTGTTCCATTGTTTACATGGCTTATTTTCACCGTAGTTTATAACACAGCCACCTAGGTATAAAATCATTAATAAATACTGCTTAGATAAAATTGCATTAGCAGTGTGTATTACAAAGATCACATTCAAGAGAGAAATACAGGAAGAAAAAAGTCTAGGTGTTTTCAGCTGTAGCGCTGCTGACCTCTCCACATGCTGAGGTTGACACTATCAGCATTAAGGGGAAAGAAAATTACAGAAGGCCACAGTGGAGCCTTCCGCTGTTGGGGAGTCAGCAGAAACCGCCTGAGGGCTGTGAGGAGTCAGAATCTCTGCAAGCTTATTTAGTGGCTCTATAAATCTCACAAAATGAAGCCTGTGGCCATTTCTCTGCCTTTTAATAGCAGAACACCTAAATACATACATTCTTCTGTCCTCTTCCACTGCACTGCCTATAATTATCATGTAACTTTCCTACCACAGCTTGGGAATTTTCTCACTACTCCTATCTTGATTATTTATTTCAATAACATCTATTCACATTTACTTAGAATACATATCCATAATCACATGAAATAATTATAACAATCATGTACAGTGTGGGGCATTTTAAAATTGACACATTTTTCAGAAGAAACCCCACATTAAGTGTTCTAATTAAAAGCTGTTATGTGGAAGAAGGAAGAATCTCTGCCTCACATCTGAGGTACATCATTAATAGTTCTTGTCATTGGCATTACCTGTAAGTTAAATGACAACAGAAGTAGAGGTACAGATGTTGCATGCTTCCAATAGTATGCTGTATGTGAAAGACAAGCAGCTGCATTCTGCTTCAAATGAATTCCTCAGTGTTACCCCCACAAACAGCATAGTAAGAGAGGGTTGGTAGGCTAACTTCTTAGCAAAGATTGTAATTTTATAGTTGCTAGTGTTATCTGTGGCTTTCATCGCTCCTTGCAATCCTCCTGTCACACAAGACCACTAAGAAATTCTCTTCAGCACAGTGGACCTTTTGAGTGTTTCTTAATAAAATACTTTCAAATATGTTTACATAATTTTAAATATGCCATGTAAAGTTTTGGCTTTTAAAACCTGTAAACAACCACTGACATTACTTGAATTAAAACCACATTTAATTAAATCTTACTTTTAGCCTCTTCAGACGTAAAACTGGAAGAAAGCAAGGGTGCATTTTCCAGGACATCCACTACAGTATTGGATATCCTCTTTTCCCATTGCTTCCTATGGGGGTGTGACAAATCAGGAATTCCTGGGAGGATGTCAGAAGTTTCTGCTGTAATTGCAACAACAAAAAAAAGCATGATAACCAGCATCTAACTCAATTCTCTGTCCATGCAAACTAGTATTAAGCATACAGCACTTCACTAACAGCAATGTTTGATTCTGTGGGTACAAGTCTGCACTTGGTAGAAGAGTTCCCCATACATTTAGTCTCTACCAAATGTTTTTCAAACATAATATTTTGGCCAAGATTTTTATATATTTTTTTTAAATCTCGGATGAGTGGTAAGAATCAATGTAATTGCAGAAGTAACAGACAGTGGCATGGTTTTTGATCGGTGCAGACTTGTACGCTCTACCTATTTAAATGGCTGGATCATTGACATTTAGGTATCACTACATAGTATGAAATGCACAAGCCTTAAAACTGTAACGCTTACCCTCTTCATCAGATTTCCTTTGTTCCTTTGTGTTGTCACTCAAATCCTTATTAATATTTTTCCATTCTAAGGGGCTATGCTTGCTACCTTCATCTTTACTTTGCTTTAAAAGAATAAAGACTGTATTAACCATTATCCTTGTTGTCCAGAAAAACAAAGCAGTAATATTATCATGGTGCTAATTATTTTACTTTTGCTGCAAAATGGCTGGTCTAAAGATCTGAAAACTAAACCACTGACACCATGAAGGCAGCTGTAATTATACTGCATCTATTATTGCACTGCATTTCACACTGAGTGCCCTTTTTTAACAGACAATCTCAGTTTTTGAAGCTAAGCACATATGTAGTTACTTGACACAATTTGTGGTTTTATTTTTTTGCATTTAAGAACAGTAGCAATATAAGGAAAAATGAGCCATGTTCCCAGGGAAAACAAGATACACCCAAATATTAAGCTTCTCAGATTGACAGGTCTATTAAAAGAAAAAAAAACACTCTACTAGCAACATGTTTTGAAACACATACCCAATATGGCTGAGCCAGGCTATGCTATAATGTACCCACAGGTAACTTCTCAGGCACCTGTGGCTTAATTCTCCTCACCTGAAATCTCACATGGGCCCTAAAACCTAGTGAGAATTATGTACAGACTAGACTGTTTTCATGGCAGCCTGTTCAAAATATTTCCCTAAAGCAAAGAAAATGCATCAATTTTTGCAGTATCCCAAAACTTAGAAAAACAGGAGAGGGGTTTTTGGTTTGTTTTTTTTTTGACAGAGCTATAAGGAAATCCATTTTGGAACTAAACTAAATGTGAGAAGCACCAAAATGTTAGAGTGGTGGGAAATGCACAGGAAAACTGCAATTTGAGTACAAATGATAGCTGACCTAGTAGGCTGATCTATGGTTTAGCATACTAATAATATTCCATATGAACTTTTCTAGAATACAGAACATTCTAAATTACTAAAATACAAATATTATATTTATATTTGAATACTTACCCTATTTTCTTTCTTATTATTTGAGCTTCCACCAGCCATGACATTACCTGATACATTAAGGAACAGGTTCAAGAGTTAATATCTTTGGCAAACATTTGTGGTAAAGTGGTATTCCAGAGGTATGACAGCAATACCACTGAACCAAGCAATGAAAATTGTGTGAAAGTTTCTTCACAGTCCTGTCAACATAGCTTATTCTAAACAGGGAGTCCCTCTACTACTGAGTTCCAAATGTGTACGAATTTTGGTGTAGCTAAATTTATGCAGAAGAAAAAAATCCAACATTCTCTCAAAAAATTAAATAATGAAAATAACTTGTTTCACCACAGTATGTGAAAGAAAGCACTGTCATATGTAAAATATATGCAACAGCTAAAAGTTTTGCTTATTTTAAAATTGAAAAGTTTAATTCTAGCACAAGTCTTAAGACTGACAGTGTATATATTGCAGCTCTGCACTGTAGTTCTCATGTTGGAAAATAATTTATGCCCTTCAAACATTTTTCCATACAAGTTCAATAATACTAGATTTTGAAATAATTAAAAGTAGATTTGAACATATAATACTAAAGTTTTATAGCTGTATTTAAGTTCTTACAACTCCTAGTCATTTTGTCATTCCTTAAATCAAGAAAAATGTTGCTCACTTACCCTTTGGTCTTGCTGCATTGCTTTCATGTTTCTTGGTTTTCTTTAATACCTGTGCAAACTCAGTTGTCATCTGGAATGTATATGAAGAGATGCAACTACAGTACCATATTAATCTTCCTCAAATTACTGTATATGCTATTGGTTAAAAATAACTTACTATACAAAAGCACTGTTACAGCTAACAATATCTAATTTTAGCAGCATCATGTCAATATTCAACTTTTATTTTCAAAACAAACGCTTCTAAAAACTCAGTTGTCTGAGAAGTCTACAACTGTATTTGTGGCTTTTAGAGTACGACCCACACAACACTACATTTCATACTGTTATACACTAACAAACTACAATAGAAACTGATTTAGCATCTAAAATGTACATACTATTGTTTAGATCTAGAGACAACGAATATACCATACCTCAGAAGGCAAACAATTTTTTATAGGTTTGGTTAAGCAACCTCTTGCAAGAATAGTACTGGCTGATGGACGATTCTGGGGATTTCTCTTAAACATCTGTTTTATTAAGTAATGAAGTTCATAGGAATAGTGAGATGGTAGTGGCTTGTAGGACCCTTTGCATATCTTAAGAATGAGATGTTTCCAGCTGTTGGCTTGAAACTGCATTAAAAATAAATTCGCATCAGAGCACCGAGTTTAAGCATAAGGTAAAAAGAAGCTGACATAATTTAAGAGCAATTTTAACATTTATTATATAAAAATGCATGGCATTGTATCTGTGTAGGGTCCCTATTACCGTGCTGATTTGGCTCCCAGTTTGACAGTTTCAGGGCTGTAATTCAGAGGTGTGGAATAATGACCCTGAGTGAACACATCGGTAATTTTCCTGTACATTTTTTAGGACTATTATGTTTATTTATGTTAACAATGACAGAAATATAATTCACTGAGAATGAAAACATCACAGTTTGCAAACAAAGTTTGACTAAAACCAGATCATAATGGACATTGCAAACAATAACCTGTACAACTGGAAACCAGGTGGGAGTTACCCCTATAAATTTAGGATTGTTCAGATTTTATTTTTGTAGGAATATAGCACTGAGAAAATTTGGATCTTTATAGCGTCCTTTACTTCATATACTTGAGATCAGAATTAAACTGCAGGATTGAAACTGTAAGCCAGGAAAGATGCAGACTTTGATTTTTAAAAAAGAATAATCATCAAGGGTAGCCTATCAAGGCACAAGTATCCTCTTGAAAATCTACATGAAATGGCTTCAGTTGTTGTTTTTCTCAGCTAACTTAACCAATCTTCAGTCAGGAATTACAGCTTCCAAGTACAAGTCGTCGGAGACTGCAATGTCAGCGGGGACAGCTATAATCATGGATGGCAACAGCCTCAGCAAAAATGGCTGAGAACTACTATCACCATGCAGAATGTTTTCTTACGGTACAGCCAGCTGGCTTGGCTGCAGAGTGCCAAGCATCCGCGGCATGCGGCATCCTTTTATATCACCTGATAGATTATGCAAGAGCGTATGTGACCATCACATAAAAGCAGATACATAGCTTTTCACTGCTGCTAAAAAGAGGACAGTCCATTCCTTGGTATCCCAGCTCTGAGCGCTGCCTGAATAGCTGTGACACTGCTGAAGCCTTGCCACAGATCTACTTAGGCTAACACAGGCCTATGCACAGACTTTATCACTCAGTCACGTACAGTATAAACTTCTAAATTCTTGTACTGCTAGCAGTTGCAGCTGTAGAGAATCTTTTGCTGATACATAGGATTTCAAGGTATAGTATTAGATCAATGAAAGGAAACTGCTGCTTATAAAAAACTAAGACAAAACGACCTTAAATTACGGTGATCTCATTTTCTTCCAAAACAAACATATCCTGATAAGGGCTCTCATGTTAGCCATGAGTCTATATGTAGAAGCCAGACGATGGTAACACATAGGAAGCATAGAATCAACACTGTAAAAGGCAGTGTCCCAGAAGTAACAGAGAGACAGAACCTTCCATCAAGGTTCCCAATAGGACACTGCTTGGACTTGTTTAATTTGGAGAATAAGCAAACAAGTATATCACTGATGCAAGGTACAACATCATTTATTGTTTACTATATTTTGTTATATGTGCATACAATATATGCTTATTAGCAAAGATTTTGAGTGTCCTTGTCTCCATCTTTAGTGATCATCTTGATCGTGTAAAACACAATGCTCATTGCAACATCCCTACAGATATCTGGAACCAGTCTGGCACCTGCTGGACTCCTTAATAAGGCCCAGATCACCTCACTGATATTGAGGAAAATGAATCAAGAAAATAAAAAAAAAATAATTGCTTTCTAACAGTTTAGAAAGTTGAGTGTTTCAGAGAAGGGTCCAACAGGTCCAAAAACTGCTGAAAAACAGAAGGCGTATAATGAAGGAGGGGTGGGAAGGGTGGAGAAGTACTTCACTCTTTCAGAAGCAGCAGCAAACACATCAGTCAAATATATAATTGACCATGAACCCATCAAACTATAGTTAACTGCTAATTATATTTTAAGGAATTCCAAAACTTTTCTGATAACAATAAAGCTATACTTACTGGATGTCTAAGAGTGCACAGCTCATACAGAATACATCCCAGAGACCATATATCACTGTAGGTATAGAGAAAGATGAGAAATTTTGAGCCAAAAATTGCCATTTGATATCCTGCCTAGAAAAAGTGAAATTATTTATGTGTACATAAATGAATTGATAAGCTAAAAATAAAGGTAACCATAAAAGACAATAAAATTATGTGTTTAACGTCTCCAGTGGAAATGGTTATTTTATCCCACCCTAACATAAAAAAGGATGACTGTCATATATTTTTTATTCCCAGAATGTCTCCTGAGCAATTTGCTGCAACAATATTTATCCTTCCACACTTCAAAGCCTTTGTATTCGATGGCCCTTAGCATCAGAAGGCAGACAGATGATCCTAATTCTGAGAGTTGGAATTCTGTCCTTGCCAATGAGAATTCTACTGAGAAAGAAAAAATCATCTTCCACCTGAAGTGAGTTCTACCATCTACACAAGAAGCAACTGATGCCTTTCTTGCAAAAACTTAACCACTAGAAGGTTTCTTCTCTCCTGTGGAAAATGAGTCACTTGGTTCAGGTACAACTAGGGTCACAGAACAGATCTAGGGGAGGGGATATAAAAAGACTTAGTATTTTGGAGTGGGAGGAAGCTATAAACATCATACTATCAAGATACTTTCAGAAGTCCTTGCATAAGGATTAGAATAACTGGGCTCTATAAATTTAAGTCATCAGTTCAGTAGCCATCATCCCTACATTATTGTGACTGGCAAGAAGAGCTTAAAAAATAAGACCAGCCAAAAGACACAAACACATATGTACATACATACATATGTGTGTATGTATATATTTACTCTCCCAAATGCACAGAGGTCTGCACACTAGTTTTCAGTCTTTTAAGACTAAAGATATTGTACACTCAATTACCTAAGTAGACAGGAATTTAGGCCTTTTCATCTTAAAAACCTGTAATTACCTTTTTCTAAATATTCCTTAGCTCAATATCTTCTCCAAGCCACAAAGCCAGATTGAGACAACAATAAAAAGATGCACATCAGTCAGGCATTATTTGTGACCACTGAAAACACAAATACCTTTTGTTGTTGTATGGCATGCTTTCCCATATTTCTGGAGGTACGTAATAAGGAGTTCCCACATATGTGCAAGCATATGACACTGGACTATTGAAAAGACAAAGAAGAAATGCCAGATAAAAAGTAATTATTTAAGACATCTGTACTATTTATCAATGGCAAAATAAAACTTTACACCTGCTGAGATCAGTGGGGATATCCACATACTGTGCAAGAAGGCGTGCAGATCCAAAATCTCCCAGTTTGACCTTTCCATTTTGAGTGAGGAAGACATTCTGCATTTCAAGGGAAGGACAGATTTACATACTTAAATATCCATCTAGGAAACATTTCTGTGGTTTGTATATACAGAAAACACAGTGACAACCACTTCTGATATTTTATCTTTGTATTTCCTTGTACTTGCTTCTCCTAATACTTCTACCAAAAAAAAGTTAAGAACTATGTTGAGTTTACAGGGAAATAGAGAGATTATATGGGCCGAAAGCCCTAGCATCAGTAGCAGAAGAAGACTCAGAGCTTAGCAATGCCTTAATCTCTATGTTGTACTCAAACTACTAAGGTCACACTTTCTTCTGAATTTCTTTCTGCTAGGAAAGAGACAAAAAGAAAAAATGAGAGGCAAGACATTTACAAACTGTATACTCCATACACTTATTATACTTCTCTTATCGTTTTAAATTATATGCTGTCACAAGCAATTGGTGCTATCAGCAGTGAGGATATGAAGGGTGTAGCTATACTTAGATGATGTTTACTCCCATAATATTACATCATCCCATTCACTCAACAATTTCATTTACCTAAGCCTAAATGAAGAACACAGCATGCAGCAGTAACAGGAAATCATGAAAAAGGGAGTTGAACTTTTGCATGCAGAAGAGAGTTTATTAACGGCAACAAGCTTGCTCTGTTCACCTTAGATTTGATATCCCTGTGCAACACACGTTTATCATGAATGTGCTTCACACCCAGGCACATCTGCACAAACCAGTGAAGGATCTGAAAAGATTAACTAAGAGTTACAACAGCTCAATGCTGTATATAATGAGTACTTTACTAATAGATAAAAAACACATTAAGAAAGGAAAAAAAAACCAAAAAGCCCCCATGTTCAGAATATCTGAGAGTTAAACTCTAGTATAATGGCCTCCAGTCAGCGTGAAAGACAGAATTCTTTAAGACAAAGTCTATTTTAACATAGCAGAAGGAATGTTTGCTACCTGTGTCTAGAAAACCCTAATAATACATAACAACAATGAAGCTAGGAATGCTTGCCAATTACATAAGCATGCCAATTACAATTTCATAGTAAATTAGCAAATTAAAAAGAAAAAAGATATGAAAAACCACACTGAGACAACATACTATTTCTAAGGAAATATATTCTTTTAAAAAGTACAAAACAAAGTTCTTAGAGGTGCTTGGCCAATCTAACTATTAGATTAGGTGAGGATTCTGGTCATTTCATTTTAACTAAGATGATGCTTCTAACTGTGGCAAGGAGTAATTTTCAATCACTACAATGTCACTTTGGACCTTCTGCTAAGTAATTTTATAGCCTCTGTGATAAAAGGAGTTAATGCATGCTGTATGGTTTAAACATTTAATTGCTGCATAAAATGCAAGCATTTAGTCTCCTGACTAGTTTAATTTATCTTACCAGAGTGCTTTATTTACTTTTCATTTGAAGAACCTCTTACTGTGCTTTAAATTCTGTCTGAAGTTTGTGTTAAATTCTTAGCTAATTGCAGAAATTTATGCATGCAAACCTGACTCTTTTTCACATTGCCTGCACATTTCTCAGATACAGACAACAATTTTTTTATTCCTTTCAGTCCAATTCTCATCCTGTTCTGATGGAAATTATCACAGAAATAATGCTCCTATTCCATCTATAAGTGTCTTTGTTTCATTTAAGGTACTTCAAGGTGTTTGTATATCCGTAACTTGTTTTATGTGATGCAGGGTGCTTCAGTTCACATGAAGAAGGATTCCTAGGTCCTTGGTTCCAAATGCTGTCTTTTCTTACCGTATCTTCAGGGAACAACTTCCCTCTTTGGTGTTTAATCTTTTGCATTAGATCTCCATCATCACAATATTCCATCACTATATACAGATGTCCATCAGCTAAATTTTAGGTAATTTAAGAATAATTAGTATTTTCATTAGCAGGATAAGTATATTATTTTTACTATAAAGCTCTGACTACATGCTATGTATTATATATTAAAATAACCATGTATTTTTTGTAACATGTATTATAAACAACAAAAAAAGTAATTGTGATCCCTCAAGAGTATGCAACTTTAAACAAATAAAGGTATTTTAAGTTTTTTATATTCACCTTCAAATGATTCTTTATAGGCAACGATATTTGGATGTTTCATTTTAGCCAGAAGAACTGCTTCCTTCCTTGAGTTCTCTACATCAGATGAAGACTGAAAATGTAAGTATTCATATAAATTTTGCACTAACAGATTTTCAAATATACATGATGCACCTCACTTTCCAAATGGAAAATATTTTAAAGAACTATTCTTCAGTTATTTTAAGAAGTCATTTAGAAACTTGAAAACCCCATCATTTTTTAATCTATGTCTTATTACGAGCTGAAGACTTCTTTAGTTTTTTGGGGGGGGGTTGGGTTCTTTTTTTAATTTGAGAGGATATTTTCCTACTTCAGCTGATGACTTTTTCTATTTTAAAAATGCAGAGTGATGTAACACAGCAGCACACACTGACTTTGGAAAAGCTGACAATCTACACTGCATGAACTTGGTATTAAGCCAACTGCCCAGGTATTAACTGAGCTTCAGCCTCGATAAAGCCAGTGCCTCCCGTTTTGTGATTTTTTGCTTAGCTAAGTGCAGAGAAGGTAACCTGAATTACTGATTACCACCAATAATATGAGGCTAGTTTCCTCATTAGGTGTTGCAGATGAAATCTGCGTTCTAGTGAAATCAACGGGAATCCAGACAAGGGCACCAGGGGAACAGAGGTTTCATTCTAAGTGTCTTCCTGTGTGCTACACTTCCCAAAATGTAACCACACACTTCCTGAAACAGATCAGATTTAGCTACTTTACTTATTATCAACAACATAGATCAGACATAGTTATATAGTAGGCATACCATGCAACTCTCTAATACACAAAACTCTCAGCAAAAGTGTTCATCATTTCAAAAAATATATCCAGAATTACGATTTTTTTTTTTTTTAAGTGGTGGGTGAGGTGATATACATGTCACACTTACCATGGGAAGTCTTATTTCCTTCATTGCATACTTCTGGTCACTCATTCTATGGTGAACTAGGAGAGCTCTGCCAAAGGATCCCTCTCCTAGTACTTTCAACACTTTGTATTCATCCATTCTTTATAAGCCTAGGCCCCACACTCTCTTCAAACACTCTCACAGGATGATTTTCTAAGCTTTGTCATGACCTCGATTCATTTTTTGAAATTTGTTGTTAACATAATCTGCATGAGAAAAAAACCCGCAAAATAATGAGAATGGCTGAGAAATGTGGGTACCTGCAACTGTTCAGCATTACCATAAATACAATTCCAACCACTGTTATAGTGATTTTGCTGAAAATAAGGCATTCAGAAAATTCAATTCAAAGTACTGTGCAGTGTATCTCTGCATTTTTTTATTTTAAATGCTGAAGCTCTTTGAAAATGTAAATTATAAACCTACAACTTAGCATCTTCTCTTTGTTACCTGCACTTTTGCAGGTGGTTTCATAGCACTAAACAAAACTCACAGGCAAAATAATATAAACAATAAGCTTCACGCTTCCGGTGACAATTCTAACCTAAAACACCATAAGCAGGATGAAAATGGAAAAAGTTACCAATATTCATGTGCAACGGCCTCAATGACTGGCAGATTTAGAATAGAATAGAATAGTTCAGTTGGAAGGGATCTACAATGATTATCTAGTCCAACTGCCTGACTATTTCAGGGCTGACCAAAAGTTAAAGCATATTTTTAAGGGCACTGCCCAAATGCCACTTAAACACTGACAGGCTTAGGGCATCAACCACCTCTCTCTAGGAAGCCTCTTCCAGTGTTTGACTGCCCTCTTGGTAAAGAAATGCTTCCTAATTATGTCCAGTCTAAACATCCCCTTGGCACAGCTTTGAACCGTTCCCATACACTTGCTGGATTTACAGACTATATGCTTTCTTCAAAACAACGGTACTTTTAAGTTAGTTATCCACGAGTCAAACATCACGTTATGTATATACCTGTGTGCACACGGTGTTTTAGTGGGCTGATGACTTGTTTTTAGAAGGCATCTCAGGGCTTGATTGTTTCTGAAAGGATAAAATACCGATTTACTCAGAGGGTGAAAAATAAGTGTGGATTAAGCTACCTGAAAACTCTGAAGGCTCCTGAGTGGTGACTAAAGATGGTGTTTTTCAGGGGAACGGGCGCACTGGGTGTGTGCTTCACGTTAATAGCAGTTACAGCTGGCAACTACGGCT